GCTGCTGAGTTTTTTATTTTTTGCGCTATAAACAAAAAAAGCAAAACATTTGAAAAAAAAAAGTTTTCTTTGTTTTATTATAAAATTTTGCAAACAGGTAATTTTTCTCCTCCACTGATGTGTGTTGATGAGGCTGCACTGATGGGCACTGATAGGTGGCACTGATGAGCTGGCACTGATATGCAACAATGATGGGCACTGATAGGCGGCACTGACTGATGGGTGGCACTGCTGGGTGGCACTACTAGGTACTGCTGGGCACAAGTGGGTGGCACTGCTGGGCACAGGTGGGTGGCACTGATGGGCACAGGTGGGTGGCACTGATGGGCACAGTTGGGCGGCACTGCTGGGCAATAATCAGGGCATTGATCATTAGTTCCCTGGTGATCGGTGCCGATAAGTCCTCTGACAACTGCAAGTTATCGGCAGTACTGTGGCAGCGTGAGGAAAGTGCAGCTGATAATCGGCAACTGCATTTACTGGTGATCTGCTCTGTCATTGGACACGGCTGATCATGTGGTAAAAGGTCGCTGTGATTGGCTTTTTACCACGTCACGTGATCAGCTGTGTCGGTAGGATGTGGAGATCGCTGGGTGCACGCCCCTGGGGGCGTGCGGGAGGGTGCGTCTCTGTGAGAATGTCATATGATGACCTCCCAGGACTGGACAACCATGCTGTAGCATCATTCAGTTATAGCGCGGTTGACAAGCGGTTAAAGTGGATCTGCACTTCATCTGAACACCACACACCAAAAATACTATTTAATTCATTGGTAATATTCAAAGCAAACTCCCCCATCCATCCATCCATCCACTCATCCATCCATTTGTGTCTTCAGGATTTATTTTGCTGAGAAATCGTTTTGAAAAACCTCCCCCCCGCATTTCTGTCAGTAGCCATCTTGAGTAAGGGCAGGTGATTCCTGTAGCATTTACTTTCTGGAATCCATCAGCCCTTAGCTTAGGCATTGGCTGAGCTGAGAACCCTCCATCCCCTCCTGAAGACTGTTGGGGTGTATGACATCATTTGCCTAGGCAGGAAACCAGGAAGTGAGTGAAGACATGTAAATAAAAAAAATTCAAAACAAGTAAATACAATCTACTTTCCTATCTATATACTGATACTAGCAGTGTAAGGACTAGAAATAGTCAATGCTGATTGGGAGAGTGAAGTTCCACCTTAAGAGGTTAAAGTGATTTCCTATAATCGTCAGCTCCATCTAGTGGCCATAATGCTGTATCTTCCCTGAAATACCTCCTGATGTAAAAATAGTGCAATACAATAATATGGCCACTAGATGGAGCCAATGATGATGTGAAATAAAACATGGCCAAAATCTGTCCCAGCTGGGTGAACACGGCTCACATTCATTCAGCTCATTGTTTTATGGAACAGACCTCCAAGTGTGACATCTCCCACCACAAAATATACTCAGCCAATCACAGGGCAGGACACCATTTTTTATTCTTCTCCTGCCATCAATGGCCGACCCGGTCCCACACTTCATCCATGAGAAGGAAATAAACCGCGTTAGGACTCCGTGTATGGACTACGACTCTTCCTCTCTGGGGCAAACATGGAACACATGACCCTACACATACGTGATCCCACTGCCGCCATCTTGGATTCTGGAATATGAGTTGTTTATATGATATGAAGAGCCTGATTGTTATCTTTCATTGTAAGACCATTTATAACATTAACCCCTCCCCCTCTTGAGGATTTACCCCCGCCTTCCTGACCAGCCCATTTACCATATTAACCCCTCCCCCTCCAGAGGATTTACCCCCCCCTTCCTGACCAGGCCATTTACCACATTTACCCCTCCCCCTCCAGAGGATTTACCCCCCCACTTCCTGACCAGGCCATTTACCACATTAACCCCTCCCCCTCCAGAGGATTTACCCCCCCCCCCTTCCTGACCAGGCCATTTACCACAATTTAGTCACATTAATAATTTATTAATAATAGATTTCCTATTATACTATTTAAAATTTATAAATAATAATTTAAAAATAAAAAATTTATAAATTATAAATAATTATTAATAATTTAATAGGAAACCACATTAACCCCTCCCCTCCGGAGGATTTACCCCATCATCCAGACCAGGCCATTTACCACATTAACCCCTCCCTCTCTGGAGGATTTACCCCCCCCATCTAGACCAGGCCATTTACCACATTAACCCCTTCCCTCCAGAGGATTTACCCCCCTTCCTGACCAGGCCATTTACCACATTAACCCCTCCCTCTCCAGAGGATTTACCCCCCATTCCTGACCAGGCCATTTACCATATTAACCCTTCCCCCTCCAGAGAATTTACCCCACCATTCCTGACCAGGTCATTTACCATATTAACCCCTCCCCTTCCAGACGATTTACCCCCCCTACCTGGCCAGGCCATTTACTACATTAACCCCTCCGGAGGATTTACCCCCCTTTCTGATCAGGCCATTTTCGACATTCACCCCTCCCCCTCCAGAGGATTTACCCCCCCACTTCCTGACCAGGCCATTTACATTAATCCCTCTGGAGGATTTACCCCCCCCCCCCTTCCTGACCAGGCCATTTTCTTGCAATACGGCACTGCGTTACTTTCACTGGCAGTTGCGCGGTCATGCAAAGCCACACCCAAATGAAATTTACATCCTTTTTTGCCCACAATTGGATCTTTCTTTCGGTGGTATTTGATCACGTGTGTGTGTTTTATTTTTTGTGCTATAAACAAAAAAGGCCAACAATTTTGAGAAAAAAAACAATATTTTGAACTTTTTGCTATTAAACATGTCCAATAAAAAAAAACAAATTTCATCATAAATTTCAGCCAAAATGTATTCTGCTCCGTGTCTTTGCTAAAAAATCCCAATCTGTGTAAATTAATTGGCTTACATGAAAGTTATACAAATAGTTTACAAATGGCGGTATAGATACTGGAATTTTTTTCATCCTAGTAATGGCGGCGATCAGCGACTTATAGCAGGACTGCAGCCGGCATTCTTACACTGGGGGGGGGGGGAAATGACTTGGTGTCACTGACATCCCCAGTGGCACCAATACAGTGATCAGTACTAATAAAAAGCATTGACATTGTACTAATTACACTGGGCAGGAAGGGGTTAACATGAGGGCCCATCAAAGGGTTAAATGTGTGCTGTGTTTCACTGTACGCATGCTGCTATGCAGAGCCATACAAAGCAGTGTGCGGGAGCTGACAAGGTAGAGATGTGTGTTGTTTATACACAGGTCTCTCCTCCATTGGAGATACTCAATGATCACCGGATGCCGGAGAGTAATCACCGTTGGGGACCCGGTCATTGGCAGCCAAGGCCATGAATGGCGGCGCAGGTAGAGCGTGTGCCTCCAACCCGGAACTACAACACCACGTATATATAGCTGATTTAGTGCAGCCCTGCCACCCTGTAGCAGTATTTCTTCTATAGGGGGAGGTGAGCGGATGTTTTATCGGGATGACACCATGGAGAGCGTCTTTTCCTTTGTCATTCTACTATGTCACACTGAGTCTATCTGCACAGCGATCTGATGGGATGCAGCACTGCCATCGTCTCACATGGGGGTTGGAGGAAAGCTGGAGATCTCGGATTGATAGACAAGTGCTGGGTGGCCTCTCTGAATTGGGGGTCATAGGATTCTGGGAAGCCCCCCAGAGTTGTACCCTGAAGTGCTGTGTGCTTCATCATGAAGAAGTGTTGGTGACATACACATCTGTCATTTCCCTCGTCATCAGAGAACCACACAATTCAGTTTTTGGCTTCACGTTTGCTTTATTAAATTTCAATTTGTGGTGAAACATAAGAGATTTCCATCGTATTGTGACCACTTCATCCATGTGTCTGGGAACCTCTGATCTCCTGGTCTACTGCTTCTTCCACCACTTCATCCATGTCTATGGGGGGCCTCTGATCTCCTGGTTCTTCCATCACTTCATCCGTGTCTATGGGGGGGCCTCTGATCTCCTGGTCTACTGCTTCTTCCACCACTTCCTCCATGTCTCTGGGGGCCTCTGATCTCCTGGTCTACTGCTTCTTCCATGTCTCTGGGGACCTCTGATCTCTGATCTCCTGGTTCTTCCATCACTTCATCCATGTCTATGGGGGGCCTCTGATCTCCTGGTCTAATGCTTCTTCCACCACTTCCTCCATGTCTCTGGGGGCCTCTGATCTCCTGGTCTACTGCTTCTTCCACCACTTCATCCATGTCTATGGGGGGCCTCCGATCTCCTGGTTCTTCCATCACTTCATCCATGTCTATGGGGGGCCTCTGATCTCCTGGTTCTTCCATCACTTCATCCATGTCTATGGGGGGGCCTCTGATCTCCTGGTCTACTGCTTCTTCCACCACTTCATCCATGTCTCTGGGGGCCTCTGATCTCCTTGTCTACTGCTTCTTCCACCACTTCATCCATGTCTCTGGGGGGCCTCTGATCTCCTGGTCTACTGGTTCTTCCACCACTTCATCCAAGTCTGTGGGGGCCTCTGATCGCCTGGTCTACTGGTTCTTCCACCACTTCATCCAAGTCTGTGGGGGCCTCTGATCGCCTGGTCTACTGCTTCTTCCAACCCTTCATCCATGTCTCTGGGGACCTCTAATCTCCTGGTCTACTGCTTCTTCCACTACTTCATACATGTGTCTGGGGACCTCTGATCTCCTGCTACTTCCACCACTTCATCCATGTCTCTGGGGGCCTCTGATCTCCAGGTCTACTGCTTCTTCCACCACTTCATCCATGTCTCTGGGGGCCTCTGATCTCCTGGTCTACTGCTTCTTCCATGATGGAGATCAGTTATGGTGTATATCTGAGGTGTATATCAGGGTGTGTTTCTTCCCCACATGAGAGCTGGGATGTCCCAGCTCTCATGTGAGGAAGATATTTCCCTGTCTAGAAGACATTTCCCACACTCAAGGCACTAATACACCACCAGGGTTGTGTGGGACCACTAATGTACAGGAAGACAGGACTTCAGTGAGGAATATTTCCCTCACTCAGGACAGAAAAGTAGCTTCTCCCCAGTGTGAAATCTCTGATGGCTGGAAAGAACAGGAAAACAGATTTTCACCTGCATGAGACCTCAGATGTTTGACAAGTTTTGATTTTTCTACAAAACATTTCCCGCACTCAGGACAGGAATGCGGCTTCTCACCCTTGTGAGATCTCTGATGTCTAGAAAAACTGGACTTCGCTGAAAAACATTTCCCGCACTCAGGACAGGAATACGGCTTCTCACCCGTGTGCAAACTATGATGTTTGTAAAGATGGGACTTCTGTGAAAAACATTTCCCGCACTCAGGACAGGAATATGGCTTCTCACCTGTGTGAGATCTCTGATGTCTGTAAAGATGGGACTTCACTGAAAAACATTTCCCGCAATCAGGACAGGAATATGGCTTCTCCCCCGTGTGAGATCTTTCATGCACATTAAGACCAGATTTAGAACAGAACCTCTTCCCACACTCAGTACAGGAGAACCTCTTCCCTGTTAGAAAGTCAGCCCGGTCCCGCACAGTCTGAGGTTCCTCAGGATACGAGGAATCCGATGGTCCATCTACACTGGGTGGTGCCGGATGGACATTGGAGGGAGCCGGGTTTTCTCCTGGACTATACTGTGTGATGTCCTCATCTTCTACTTTCCAGTCTAGAGACAAAGTGAGACAATCCTCGGAGGTTTTCCTCATCTCCCGGCCATGGACTAAAATACAAAGACAAAGAGGATTACTAGACAGGAGCTGATTGGTTCCCCCAAACCAGGACTCCGCCCACATCAGGCAGCTTGGTCTCTGAGGAGCTTACAATTACACCCTCAAGGGAACTAGGAAATGGCTCCTCTGATCTCCTACCAGGTCATTTCTTTATTCATGTACCTTAGTCAGAGAGTGAGGAAACAACCAGAACTGTCTTTTATAGGAGGGACAGTGATGAGGGGATTACAGGACGAGGGTCCCCACCCCCTCTATCACTCATCGCCATCTTCCCAACACAAGAAGTACTGCACTTCCTAATTTACTCCATGATTTAGTCATGAAGAACAGCGGGGCTGAGCCCCACCAGAGGTCAGAGAGTGAGGATGGGGGGAGAACAACCAAGATGAAGACTGAACTGATCCTGAAGACCACCATCATTGGGGTATTGGCTCCCCCCTCATTATCACTTTCTGTTTAAGGGTCCAAAGTTGGAGGATGTTATCACATTATTATCACCATGTAAAAGTCTGTGCTCCAATCACATCATCCGATATAAAATGTCCAGCTGGGAGGAAATGGGGGGAACAAAAGAGAATCCATATTAGTCAGGACTATGGAATGTATATCGTAGAGTAGTATATAGTGCAGGGGTCAGGAGTATGTAATGTACAATATAAATTATACAGTATAAGGGTCAGGACGCATAATATTGTATTCAGTAATCAGTGGAATATTAAATGTTTCCTGTAGACAAGTTGCAGAGACCCCACACCGCTGCCTCCCATCTCCTGAGACTGCACTCAGTGACTTGTGTCTGAGACACTACAGACATATCCCTCCACCCGGCACAGCCAGCAGACCACAGAGCAAGGAACCCTGGGAGAAATGTTCTGTCAGAAATCCTGTTAGCCCCAGGATAAGGGGTAGAAGACCCAATACAGGTCAATCACACCTATTGTGAACATCAACATTTTGCTGCCAGCTGAACCCCAGAACCTCCATAAATCCAGTCTAGATACATAAATTGTGTCTGCAGCACAGAGAAGGAAGATTATCCGAGAGAAATCCAGGAATACAGGACGGGGAACACAGCTCAGGAAAGTGACCAGGGGATTACAGGCTGATATCACCCAGTCCCCGCCCTACTCTGGACCAATCAGTGAGCAGTATGGGTGGAGGAATGGATTTAGTGTTCATGACCCACCTGTGCTGATCTCTGTAGGAGTGTCCTCCTCTATAAATGTCCCCGTTATTCCATCCTCCTCCATAGACTGCTGATCATCCCTCACATACGCCTCTTCTTCTTCTGCTTTCACCTCAAATTCTATATCGATTGGATCTCCACTCTAAATCAAGGAAATGACAGAAAATATCATCTGTAAAATGTAAGATTTATGATTGTGACATCACACACAAAATCCACACATTGTCTCCATGAGTCTATTTTTTATAACCTCCCCCCACCAACCTTGTAATGATGAGGGATGGTGTGACCTTCCTGTGTGGAATCCCAGGAATACAGAGGATGGGGATATCTCTCTGGTGGGTTCCTGTAGCTGGATGACTCCACCATGGTGTCCTGGTACAGATCTTTGTGTCCTTCTTGAATTTCTGACTCCTCCATCCCCCCATCCTCATCCTCCTCCTCTTTTATCTCTTCTTTGACCTCAACTTTAGGATCTCTCAGGTTTCCACTCTGAATATATAATAAAATGACATCAATGGTAACAATGCAGATAATGTACAGATCCTAATGATACTATCAGTGATTGTTCCTCATCTACCTGATGATGGTGAGGGATGGTGTGACCTTCCTGTGTGGAATCCCGGGAATACAGAGGACGGGGACATCTCTCTGGTGGGTTCCTGGTATTAGGTGGCTCCATCATATCCTTGTGTCCTTCTGAAAACTCCTCCATCACTCCATACTCCTCATCCTCCTCTTTATACTCTTCTTTAACATCAATATTCTCATCCCCGAGGATTCCACTCTGAAAGATATAATAAAACATTCATTGTAACAAACATGCTGTGTATAAATCACAACTACCAATAATTGTCATCATCTACCTGATGATGGTGAGGGATGGTGTGACCTTCCTGTGTGGAATCCCGGGAATACAGAGGACGGGGACATCTCTCTGGTGGGTTCCCATGACTGGATCCATCTGTAGGAAACACACACACTGACTGAATCCATTGTTTCTATGTGTTTATCAGATGATGGGGGATCTAGGTGGATCCTCCGTACTGCTCTCTCCTTTACAATAAAGTCTCCTCTTACCCGGTGATGTGAGGGGCGGCTGATTGTCCATCATGACGTCCTTGTAGAGATCCTTGTGTCCTTCTAAATACTCCCACTCCTCCATGGAGAAATAGACAGTGACACCCTGACACCTTATAGGAACCTGACACACAATGATACAGTCACCATCCAGACACATCCCTTGTCTGTTACTGGAGAATGTCCCAGAATTCCCGGCACCGCTCACCTCTCCTGTCAGCAGCTCCATCATCTTCTTGGTGACTTCTAGAATCTTCTGCATGTTGTGTCTCTCAGGCTTTAGGGAGTCACATGGAGGCACTGTGATGGTCATATGATCACCTGACTTCAGAAGAGGAAATCTCTGTTTTGAAGAACCAATAGGAATATCATGTTAGAATCCCAGAATCCTCCTCACCTCTCTCCGGTCAGGTCTGTGTTTTATTAACAGAGATAAGAGTGATGTCATGTGACCTCCAGAATCCTCCTCACCTCTCCGGTCAGGTCTGTGTTTTATTAATGGACATAAGAGTGATGTCATGTGACCTCCCAGAATCCTCCTCACCTCTCCGGTCAGGTCTGTGTGTTATTAATAGAGATGAGAGTGATGTCATGTGACCTCCCAGAATCCTCCTCACCTCTCCGGTCAGGTCTGTGTGTTTTATTAATGGACATAAGAGTGATGTCATGTGACCTCCCAGAATCCTCCTCACCTCTCCGGTCAGGTCTGTGTGTTATTAATAGAGATGAGAGTGATGTCATGTGACCTCCCAGAATCCTCCTCACCTCTCCGGTCAGGTCTGTGTGTTATTAATAGAGATAAGAGTGATGTCATGTGACCTCCCAGAATCCTCCTCACCTCTCCAGTCAGGTCTGTGTTTTATTAATAGAGATGAGAGTGATGTCATGTGACCTCCCAGAATCCTCCTCACCTCTCCGGTCAGGTCTGTGTTTTATTAATAGAGATGAGTGATGTCATGTGACCTCCCAGAATCCCCCTCACCTCTCCGGTCAACAGGTAGATGATCTCCAGGGTGAGGTTTAGTATCTTCTCAGTCATGTGACTCCGGTCCTCCTCCATCCTCATTGGTGCCATCATGTGATCTATACAGGTCTCCTTGTAGACGGATAACTTTGGGAAATGAAAGTAAGAATGATTTGGATGGTATTGGTCACACAATAATAGGATGTGGATGTGAGGGGGGAATAGGAGGGTTGCTGGACATTGAAGAATTACTCCCCCCATGGGAAGACATTTAGTCTGGACTCAGGGAGTTACAAATCCTATCTCCCAACTCTCGGGACATATAGTTCCGGGCGCAATGCAGGTTGTTTTCTTACATTTATCCCTGTTGCAGGCAAGCAGCAGGGTTACTTAAGAAAGTGATTGGTAGACTCCGGGGGGGGCGGGCTGCAGCTGGGCATGCTCAGTGTCTGTGACACTTGTTCAGACAGCACATTTCCCCCCTCCCTCCCCGCATAGACGGGGAAGGAGTAAGATTCTGTTTTGCTCCGCCTCTTCCCCGCCCCTCTGCTCTGTGACTGCCCTGTGGGCGGGATATTTGAAGATCCATCCGGTTGTAGAATTGGGGATGTCTGAGTCTGCAGAGAGCAGCCTGGGGGTGAGCGATCTCTGCTCTACCATGGAGCTTTCCCCACCTCCTTCCCTTCTCTCCTTATCTACCTCCCCCCTCCCTGTTCTTCCAGCAGCTTCACACTTCACTATTCCATGTCCAGTTAGCAGCTGAGCTCTGATGTAAGGGGGGACTCTGCTGAGCTCTGACGTAAGGGGGGGACTCCGCTGAGCTCTGACGTAAGGGGGGGACTCCGCTGAGCTCTGATGTAAGGGGGGGACTCCGCTGAGCTCTGATGTAAAGGGGGGGACTCCGCTGAGCTCTGATGTAAGGGGGGGACTCCGCTGAGCTCTGATGTAAGGGGGGGGGACTCCGCTGAGCTCTGATGTAAGGGGGGGACTCTGCTGAGCCCTGAAGTAAGGGGGGCACTCCACTGAGCTCTGACGTAAGAGGGAATCTTCTGAGCTCTGACGTAAGGAGGGGACTCTGCTGAGCTCTGAAGTAAGGGGGGGGTGGCGGACTCTGCTGAGCTCTGACGTAAGGGGGGTGGACTCAGCTGAGCTCTTACGTAAGGGAGGTGGACTCAGCTGAGCTCTGACGTAAGGGGGGTGGACTCCACTGAGCTCTGACGTAAGGGGGGGGACTCCGCTGGACACTGACATAAGGGGGGGACTCTGCTGGACACTGACGTAAGGGGGGACTCGCTGGACACTGACGTAAGGAGGGACTCCGCTGGACACTGACGTAAGGGGGGGACTCCGCTCGACACTGACGTAAGGGGGGGACTCCGCTCGACACTGACGTAAGGGGGGGACTCCGCTCGACACTGACGTAAGGGGGGGAATCCGCTCGACACTGACGTAAGGGGGGGACTCCGCTCGACACTGACGTAAGGGGGGGACTCCGCTCGACACTGACGTAAGGGGGGGACTCCGTTCGACACTGACGTAAGGGGGGGGACTCCGCTCGACACTGACGTAAGGGGGGGGGGACTCCGCTGGACACTGACGTAAGGGGGGGCACTCTGCTGTACACTGATGTAAGGAGGTAAAGATGGGGACTTTGATGGAAGGGGGGACTCTTATGTGAACATGGTGCTCATCCTGACTGCTGCACTCTCTATGTTGTGTTATGTACTTACTCCTGGCCCCTGCACTCTATATGTTGTGTTTGTACTTACTCCTGGCCCCTGCACTCTATATGTTGTGTTTTGTACTTACTCCTGGCCCCTGCACTCTATATGTTGTGTCTTTGTACTTACTCCTGGCCCCTGCACTCTCTATGTTGTGTTTTTGTACTTACTTCTGGCCCCTGCACTCTATATGTTGTGTCTTTGTACTTACTCCTGGCCCCTGCACTCTCTATGTTGTGTTTTGTACTTACTCCTGGCCCCTGCACTCTCTATGTTGTGTTTTGTACTTACTCCTGGCCCCTGCACTCTCTATGTTGTGTTTTTGTACTTACTCCTGGCCCCTGCACTCTCTATGTTGTGTTTGTACTTACTCCTGGCCCCTGCACTCTCTATGTTGTGTTTGTACTTACTCCTGGCCCCTGCACTCTATATGTTGTGTTTTGTACTTACTCCTGGCCCCTGCACTCTCTATGTTGTGTTTGTACTTACTCCTGGCCCCTGCACTCTCTATGTTGTGTTTTGTACTTACTCCTGGCCCCTGCACTCTCTATGTTGTGTTTGTACTTACTCCTGGCCCCTGCACTCTATATGTTGTGTGTTTGTACTTACTCCTGGCCCCTGCACTCTATATGTTGTGTGTTTGTACTTACTCCTGGCCCCTGAACTCTCAATGTTGTTTTGTACTTACTCCTGGCCCCTGCACTCTATATGTTGTGTTTTGTACTTACTCCTGGCCCCTGCACTCTATATGTTGTGTCTTTGTACTTACTCCTGGCCCCTGCACTCTCTATGTTGTGTTTGTACTTACTCCTGGCCCCTGCACTCTCTATGTTGTGTTTCTGTACTTACTCCTGGCCCTGCACTCTCTATGTTGTGTTTGTACTTACTCCTGGCCCCTGCACTCTCTATGTTTGTGTTTGTACTTACTCCTGGCCCCTGCACTCTATATGTTGTGTTTGTACTTACTCCTGGCCCCTGCACTCTGTATGTTGTGTTTTGTACTTACTCCTGGCCCCTGCACTCTATATGTTGTGTTTGTACTTACTCCTGGCCCCTGCACTCTCTATGTTGTGTTTGTACTTACTCCTGGCCCCTGCACTCTCTATGTTGTGTTTGTACTTACTCCTGGCCCCTGCACTCTATATGTTGTGTTTGTACTTACTCCTGGCCCCTGCACTCTCTATGTTGTGTTTGTACTTACTCCTGGCCCCTGCACTCTCTATGTTGTGTTTGTACTTACTCCTGGCCCCTGCACTCGTTTGTACTTACTCCTGGCCCCTGCACTCTATACATTATGTTGTATGTAGACCTGACTAAGATGTTCATTGTCCCAACAGTTGCTGGTTGGAATGAAATCCTTCTTTAAGGTCGGCTCATTAAGGCAGTCCATACATTACTCATATTGTTCATCCAATCAGTGGGCTGAACAGAAAACAAAATGATCCAATCCTGGAGGACACTGGAGCTTGATTTGTCTGCTCAGCATTATTATTATTATTATTATACAGGATTTATGGCGCCAACAGTTTGCTCAGCACTTTACAATAGAATGGGAAACAATACAGCAACAATACAGATCAATACAAGAGGGATAGGAGGGCCCTGATCCTGGGAGCTTACAATCTAGGAGGGCGGGGTAAGTAGTAAAGTAGGTAGTGATTGTGGGGGATGGAGTGGTTGGAAGAGTAGAGGATTCCAAATTAGCAGAGGGCGCGATAGGCTTCCCTGAAGAGAGAGATTTTCAGTGAACGCCGAAAGGCAAGTAGAGCAGGTGATAGTCTGATAGATTGGGGTAGGGAGTTTCAGAGGATGGGGGAAGCTCTGGAGAAGTCCTGGAGATGAGCATGGGAGGAGGAGACAAGGGAGCTAGAGAGTAGGAGGTCTTGCAAAGAGCGGAGTGTAAAGTTTGGGTGATATTTAGAGATAGGATCAGTTATGTAAATTGGGGCGGAGTTGTGGACGGCTTTATATGTCATTGTCAGAGTTTTGAATTTTTATCCGTTGGGCAACAGGAATTGCAAGTGGAGGGTTGGCAGAGTAGAGGACAGTGGACGGGATTGGCAGAGAGGGGTGGAGGACACTGAGTAGAGGCCAGTGGAGGGATTGGCAGAGAGGGGTGGAGGACACTGAGTAGAGGCCATGGAGGGATTGGCAGAG